TCGGTTTTTTCGCTTATTTCAGTTGCCGAACATTCCCTAACTCGTTGCCTTTTCTAGTGCAGCTCAACCAGGTCTCGTCCCATTCGTCGATATTTGTGATATCATAAATCCCGGAAAATATGCGTTGTAGTCCAAACGAGTCGTTCGTTGTAGTTTTTGAAAAGTGGTTTCTGTTAAATAAAATATCTCCTTTTGAAGTGGACTTTGAGCTTTGTAACTTTGCAGATCTTTTTTATGCTCAAACAGCAACATTACAGACTAACTAAAGTTGAAAAAGTGAAAAAGCATAATAGGACCCCTTTAAAAAAGAAAATGATTATTTGAAACTAATAATTTTTCACAATAACACAGTTTTTACTGTTTTTGTGATCAGATAAATTCTGCCTTGGTGAGAATAAGAATACTATTAAAGAAGTATAAAAGATTAAAAAATCCTACTGATCCCATAATTTTGTGTATTAAAAAAAAAAAACTGGTATGGACACTTTTGACATCACTATATATTTATATAGGATTGGAATTTAATATTATGTAGGGATGTCAAAAGTGTCATATGCATACCAGTTTTTTTTAAGCTATAAACATCTTGCAGATTTTGCAAGGGGTATGCAAACTTATAGAAAAAACTTTACTCACAAAATTAACCTAACCAGTGTATTATGTGCTAAATGTCTGTCTTCAACTCATGCTTTAACCTTTGGCTTTATCAATGCTGCCAGCTATTAGGAGACATGCGGGGCAAGGTTAGTCTGGCTGGCTTTCTGTCTGTCTCTCTGCATTAAGATGACGTTAAATTTAAATTTTCACAGTCTTTCTTTTTTTTTTTTTAAGTTGTCTCAGTGTTAACTTTATACATAAAATGCTAATTTGGATGTCATTTTATGTTTTTCTAAGCAGAAGAAACCAGCTCGGCGGCGGTATGACACCTATGGGATGTACTCGGATGATGATGCAAATAGCGACGCCTCCAGCGCGTGTTCAGAGCGTTCGTACAGCTCTCGGAATGGCAGCATTCCAACTTATATGCGGCAGACTGAGGACGTGGCCGAAGTGCTCAATCGCTGTGCCTCTGCCAATTGGTCAGAGAGAAAAGAGGGGCTGATGGGATTGCAAGCACTGTTAAAAAACCAACGTACTCTCAGGTAACTCATTCAAACACAAAATAAGGTGTGATTGTTTTTCATATTCCAGCTTTACTAAATTGACTGATTCATGTTCAGTGAAAGGGTTTAATTTATTCTTTCTATCTGTTTCAGCCGTGTTGAGCTGAAGAGGTTGTGCGAAATTTTCACGAGGATGTTTGCAGACCCACACAGCAAGGTACCTTCGTTTGCCGCTTTCAAGCTCCAGAACACACTTACACTACACACACACACACACACACACACATGCACACACACTTCTGCAAGACATACACCAGCATGAACTGCATCACACAAAACCGCTTGACTGTATCGGATTCTGCCTCACCCACAGCCCGTATTCTCGCCACAAACACACTCCACACTCTCAGGCATGTGCAGTGCACACTAACTCTGGGGTTGAAGACCGTGGCTAATCGCATGGTTTGGTTTGAGTGGATTTCTGATTTCAGACAGCTCGCTCGTCTTTTTTCAACCACTGTAACGCCCGACGTCCAAACTTCCTCTGTAGCTTTCCTTCCTTTCTTGCTTGCATTCACGCATACACATACTGGGACTGTCACAATTCCCGAAAAAAAGAAGAACATCTTAAAATCTAAGTTTCATGCAAATCTCTGACCATTATGAAGAACATGAGAGAATGAGAATGAAATGAGAATGTGAAAATTCAATATAGCCTTGTAGGATTTCAGTGTAAGCGCTGATGTTTCAAGTGTCTTTTCTATATAAATTTAAATGATTCTTAAAAATTTTACTCATAAACTATTGGTTGAATTGACAGCCCAGTCCTACACGCACACAGACTAACCCGCGTTTGAAGTGTCTCTCTTTCTCCTGGAACCTCCTTCTGGCATTCTGTATCTTGTCGGGTAGTCCGTAGCTTCGCCCCATTTATCTGATTACTGGGCTCATGGCTCATGGCCCGCCCCTCTTTCTGATTTGCAGCGTGATCCCAGAGGCTTCGTCACGGCAGAATCCGGTATCAGTTCTGCCTCTTTTAAGGTACAGAAGTCATTCTGACACTCCTGTCCAACACAATCACATTCTACAGCCACCCAAGCTTTTCTTCAGGGGTATGGAAAACCCTGGATCCTTTTATGTGGATAACTAAAAGTGTGGATATTTAAATTGCAAAATATGCTTATGGATTTCATACCATTTCCCCCCTTTTTTATTGGTCTACAGTGGTCTTGTTTCAAAAGGGTGCCTTATTTTTCATTTCTAGTGTTTGAATCCTTTCCTTAAAAGATTAGTTCACCCCAAAATGGAAATTATGTCTTCATTTACTTACCCTCATGTCGTTCCAAATGCATAGAGAATACGGACTTGAGTGGTTTAATCCAAGTCTTCTGAAGAGACATGATCGCTATACATGTATTCTTAAGGGACTTTCTTAAGGGATTGGAATGACATGAGGATGAGTAAATGATGACAGAATGTTCATTTTGGGATGAATTAACCTTTTAATACGGTATCATAACATGTTTATATGTTAAACTTAATTTTAATGTATTTATTCATTTTTATGTTGTTCCCAAAATGGTTCTGCAAATGGTTAGCATTTATCTTTTATATCTTTTTACGGACATTCACCAGTGTGTTTGTTTCTTTTCATGCCTTACCCTGTGGTGGAACTGTAGAGAGTAAGTGTGGTTAACTTTTGTGCAAATGTTTTTTTTTTTTTGGTGTTTTTTTTTTTTTTTTATGCTTTTTTGTTTGTATGCAGTGTCAGTATCCATAAACTGTGAGATGCTTCTCTAATAAATAGCTGGAAAGCATTTATTCCGTTTTTGGCTGTGTTTGGGACTTAGCATTAACAGTGCAATCTACTTTACTAATGTACTAATCAGTAACATGGTGAATGAATGATGGATGATGAAAATGTGACACCTAACAGATGACAAAGATGTTTTTGATCCTGCTATTAATCTGTGGCTTTGCTGTTAACTAATCAAGAATATCTAAAAAGTGTCTGTATTGTAAACATCAGTAGTTTGGATGTTTGATCTTTCACAATATTGTATTGTATTGTAATGTAACAATTAGCATGCTGGTTTTTTTTTCATTTCTACATTGTATTTGTTTTTAATGGGGCAAATCTTCTGAAATTCCCAAGTAGGTAAATAACTAAGTAGTGCCTTTATCAAACTAAATAAACTGCTGGCTGAATCATAGTGTGCCATTTGGAAAAACTTTGATTATCAAATATTGTGAACCAATCGATTTCTGCTTACCTTCAATTTCCCCATATCTCTCTATTTTATATTACTTCCCTACATCACTATTAATTATATAGAGACCATCATGATGACAGTTTATCATTTATGCTGTTCCGATTGACTTTTTATAAAAAGTGGGGTTTCTTTACTAACTGATGCTATTCAGTTGGAACCAGTTGGAGTCAAATCAGAATTTATATTAAAGGGGTCATATGTTGCTAAAAAGAACATTATTTTGTGTATTTGGTGTAATGAAATGTGTTTATGTGGTTTAAGGTTCAAAAAACACATTATTTTCTACATACTGTACATTATTGTTTCTCCTCTATGCATGCCCTTTCTGAAACGCGTAGATTTTTACAAAGCTCATCGGTCTGAAAAAGCGAGGTGTGCTCTGATTGGCCAGCTATCCAATGCGTTGTGATTGGCCGAATACCTCAAGCATGTGA